TAAAGTGCAAGTTTACCTGGTTTACCAGAAATTACATAAAATGGGTATATATTGAGTCTGAGAATTAGAAGCCAACTTGCAAATCTAAAAATGCTGATTGTATTATGTTGAGATGGTGGTATTTTTGTCCCTTTCCATCGACCGTCACTACCTGCCTTTTGAAAATGTCTAAAGTAATGTTGTTACATCAGCTTTTCAATGAAAAAAATTAAACCTATGCTGTATTTGAGCAATGACAATGGCCATGCATGGCTGGATCATGGGGTACATAGTGGGGATTGGGGAGATGAGACTGAGAGGGAGCCCCAGACCAAGAAATGGAACTGAACTTGAGGCCACATGCAGGGGCCCTGCTCTGGGTAGCCCTGTGTGACCTAAGTCTCACTGCGAACTTTGATGTCTATGCTGGCTTGGGATGCAGGTGGCAAACAGGAAGGGACAGCACACCATTAGGGCCAGAGCGCCACTGGCTTGTGGACCGTGTGGTGGTTTCTTCTCTCTTCCTACTTCAGTCGTACTGCCTGACTGTAGCTGGGCCTGGCGAGTTGCAGACTTGCCCGGGGCTGCCTTTATCCCTGGCGTCAGAAGCCAAGGATGGAGCTGGACAGGGCTGCTGTGCTTTCTAATTCACTCTCCTGCGAGACGCCCTCCTGGCCCATTGTCCCCTTGTGTCCATTCATCCCAGAACAAGAGTAGCAAATCTGCTGTGACCACCCAGCCCAGGGCCAGCCAGGACGCCTTGATAAAGGCTTCCTCTAATGCTCGCAGAGACCCACTTTCTGGGTGAGGACAGCGAAGCTTGGGAATAAGAGCTGCCATCTGCCTGATTCCATACTCTTGAAAGACAAATACTTGGTCTTTCTTGTCTACCCTGAGCTGAAGGAACACACATAATTCTCTGTCGTCAGGTCGAGAGCGCCCATCCCTAACTGGAAAGACCCCTTTTCATGTCTCTCAGCCCCAGACCCACAGATTTTCACCCGAAGCTTTCATTCCAAACAACATCCCCTCTCTCCACTGCCAGCTAAGATCACCTCCCTTCTTTAGGGACTCGATCTGCTGCTAAAAATTACTGCTGTCATGCAGCTAGCCAAGCCCTTAGGTTTGATCAGTTATACAAAGGACCTACATTCTGGGTGGCAGATAAACTTGAAGAAATCTGAGGACTTCCAGAGAGATTCTGCAGAGGCTCCTACCCACTCAGGTCCAAGTCCCCAGGTTAAAGGAAACCCACAGATAATGGATCTGCCAACAGCAAGGGAGGACTGAGGGTTTGCCCTTCCCCTTGTGGGTGTCCCAGCTGAAAAGCTAATTCAGAGTGGAGATCAGAGATGTAGGATGTTGAGCATCTTTTCATATGTTTACTTGCCATCTCTATATCTTCTTTGGTGAGGTATCTATTTAGCTCTTTGACCCATTTTTACATTGGGCTGTTTTCTTATTGTTGAGTTTTAATAGTTCTTTCTATATTTTGGGTACGAGCTTCTGGCTGGACAGGCTCCAAGCCAGACCCCTCCCCTTGGGTAGCCAGGCCTGACTGGCCGGCCACCCAAACACTCACCAGCAATGACAGCAAAGTCAGCCTCCACGTCACAGGCGATGGCGTCACCATTTCGTATGTGGCTCTTCACAGCCTCTTTGACTTTGCCCATCCCAAGCTCATTGCCTTCATCCCCGAGCCCTGGAGGGAAGGGGAACTGGTCAGTATACAGGGTCAGGTAAAATGGGGGGTTGGGAGGGGCAGGGCAACCCCTTCACACGTGCCTCATTGTCTCAGGGAGGGGGAAGGGGTTGGCCCTGGATATATTTTCAGACAACCAGGAGATGTTGTACTTCTCCAGGTATTCTAGAAACTTCTCTAGTTAAAAACAAGTCACAGTTTGGAACTCACCAGAGTGTGGCTATGTCCCCTCTTAGGCCACGTTCTCCAGTCACCGACGCAGTGCCCTCTATGCTGACAGGAGTATGGTGACACTCAGACTTCCCCTCTTTTCTTGAGTGGCTCCTGCTCAGGGAGGGGCCCCAAGTCTCTGAGCCCCACTAACGTGACCAGGTGGGATTCCATTGGCAGAAGAGAACTGGCATAGTTTTAAAGTCAGTTCTGTAATTTACTTTAAAGGCTTCAGTTTAAAGAACGTGAAGTGTATGTGTGTCAGTTCATTTTAATCTGCGCCAACCAGAGGGGTGCCTGGTAAACATCTGGAGTGGCCCAATCAGGATACACACCCAGAGGTGGTTGGTTAGCATGTGAAAGAGAACAGAGTCCAAAGGCCAATCTGATCATCATCGGCAGAGGGTTTGTTAATTAGCATAATAAATGCTAGAACAGGTATGTTGAAATACATAAATGTTAGAAATTATTTAATCCATTGGTGAAATGAATGTTGTGTCAGATAGGTGAACTGGCTGAAAATAATTAACAGGCGCCACCACCCTTGCAGGAGGAAGATGAAAAAAATCTAACACGCCCTGCAGCCTGTACCCTTTCAACACCATCTGGTCCTGTGTCCAAGCATTTCTGGAGGATTCTGCAGACTAGAGGTCAGCTGAATCTGCCTCTGGAAGATGGTGGCAGCTGCCTCAAGATAAACTGATCACCCAAGGTGCCTGTCCGAGAGCCTCAAGGGCAGAGGGCCAGGTGTCCTGCGCCTGTAGAAAGGTTGAACAGTCATGTGTCATGTAACAAGGCTACCGCTGAGAAATGTGTCGTCCTGTGATTTTGTCATTATGTGAAACTCACGGAGCGCCATCACACAAACCGAGATGCGATAACCTACTACACACCCAGGCTCTACGGTACAGCCGATCACTCCTGGGCTACACATCCGTACAGCGTGTTACTGTGCTGAATACTGTAGCAACTATGACACGATACTATCTGTGTATCTACACATAGAAAAGGCGTGCAGTAAACATATGGTATAAAATATTAAAATGGTACAGCTGTGTGGGGCTTTGCCCATCCCCAGCTCATTGCCTCCGCTCGGCATGAGTGGAGGCTGCAGGGCTGGAAGCGGCTCTGGGTGAGTCAGTGAGTGAGTGGTGAGCGCAGGCGAAGCCTAGGGCATTCCCTCACACCGTGGACTTGAAAACACTGTACACTCGAGGTGCACTCAATTTATAAAAAACGTTTTTCTTTCTTCAATAATAAAGTCGCCTTAGCTTATTGTGGCTTTTTACTTTATAAACTTTTTAATCTTTAAAAACTTTTAACTCTTTTATAATAACTTATAACATACATTATGCAGCTGTACAAATACTTTCTTTATATCCTTATTCTATAAGCTTTTTTCTATTTTTAAAATGTTTAATTTTTTTTTTTTTTTTTTTTACTTTTTAAACATTTTTTGTTAAAAACTAAGACACAAACACACAGTGAGCCTAGGCCTACACAGAGTCGGGATCATCTCCACGTCTGATACAAGCCATTCTCAAATTTTTGTTGGTCTCTTTGCCTTTAATGCAGCAGATCCTGTAACGGCTTCTGTTACTCGGTTCATGATCAAGGTGGTAACTGGTGGAAGGAGACAGGTCTGACTGGTGAGTGATAATGACCACTGATTTTCCACTTTCGTCCTCCTTAATCACTGTTAATTTCATTTCCAGGTCACTCAACACAGCCTCTTACCGGCAGCATTAGCAGTGGCCGAAATGGCATGAGATTAAATCAAGCGCAAGATAAAAAGACGCCATCAAGAGACACGCGAACCATGAGAGAGAGGAGGCTGCAGCTGGCGTAACGTGGCGTTCTGTTTTGCAGCAAACTTTTTTTTTAATATGTAAGAAGAAAGAGTACACTCTAAAATAATAATAAAAACACAGACTAGTAAATACTTAGAGCAATAACAGTCATTTGTCATCATCAAGCAGCACCGTCGTATGTGCTGTACTTTTATATGACAGGCAGTGCAGTAGGTTTGCTTACAGTGGCATCGCCACAAACATGAATAGTGCATCGCACTGACGTTAGGACAGCTACGATGTCGCTAGGCCATAGGAATTTTTCATCTCCCTTGTAATCTTACGGGACCACTGCTGTACGTGGTCCATGTCGACCGAAACATCATTATGTATGACAGTTTTTGCATCCGTTTCTACAAAGGCTTGGGATGTGTGGAAAATTCTGCCACAAGTTAGCACTCATTGTCAGATGGTGGAGAGGGGAGCTGGAGCTGACCCACTCTGCGCATCAGAGACCTGGACTCGGCCCAGAGAATCAAACAATTGTGAATGGCCAAGGTCCATGCCCTGAGGATTTTTCTCGGAAGTTTTCTAGATCCATGGCGGCCCACTGGATGAAGGGAAATAACCCCACCACCTCGCACTGGTGTTTCGTCTGTGTCTACCTCTGTTCTTTCCCATTTTATGAATTTCCTTCTGTTCACTCTTCAGGCCAGTCCTGTCCGTGGTCTTACAGAGTCTCTGACAGGGGCAGAACTTGGGTAATAAGTGGGACATGTGTGTCTTGGTTCTCAACTGAGTGCTCCGTGCATGACACAGCAGCTGCCTGGGGACACTGAGGAATAGGATGATGACAGAGCACAGAGAAAGGACATTCAGACGGTAGCCTTGCTGGGCAGCGGGGTGTGGGAAGCCACAGAAGGGGCTCGGGTGTCCAAGGGTCCACAAAGGAGGCAGTGTGAAGGTGCAGACGGCCAGCTCCACCTGCTTCCTCTGGGATCTTGGGGGTCTCACCCGGGGGGGGGATAAGCACAGATTGGGGCTCCTCTGGACTCAGAGACCCTTTCCTCCTCCCCACTGAGCATGTCTCCTGCCCAGCCTGGAGAAACAGGAAGCACAAGACCTACTGCACTGTGGGCACCACACCCATGGCCTCTTCTGGGAAAGACCAGGGCAATTTGCAGAAAATTTCTACTCAGCCAGGAAGACGGGAAGACTTTCATTGTCTCGTCAAAACCTTTAAAAGCCTAAGGCAACTAATGAGTCTGGGAAACACTCTGAAGAAAACAGATAAACACTGCATGGCAAACATGCCTTAATGACTCCAGGGTCTGATACCTAACTACCCCTGGGGGAAGAAGGCCTTAGGAGTTATATCAAGCCCTTCAGAAATTCATAGATTCCATGAAAAGCATATCAGGTAGGGTCTTGGGAATCTGGGCTCTGCTCCTAATTCTCTCAGCAACACTAATTAGCTAGGCAACCTCAAGAAGACCCCCTAAGCCTCATTTTTGGACACTATACCTGCCTTACCTGCCTCACAGGGCTTTAAAGAGGCTTAAACAATACAATGGATGTGAAACCTCTTTGAAAACTATAAAATTCTGTATAGACACGATCACGCTACTACATCATTAGCAATCAAAATACTGCGCCAATCATATATTTAAGATATATTTAAAAATTAATATGCTTTATAAGATGATACATAATATATATGGCATTTGGTCATCCTATATGAGCAAAATAATATGCCGTGACTTGATTTTATTATGAGTTTTAATATTTTTGAGTTAGGCAAATGGAATACGCTTGGTTAAATGTCATTTGCCTTTCTTGCTTGTGGGAATGCTGGATTTCTAAATGACGGTGTCATTATTGTATACATGGAACATAATAAACAAAGAGCATCTCTGGGCTGGAAAACAATGGTGCCCATATAACTCTTTCCTGTCCTCTGTTTGACAGCCAGTAAAAAGGCATTTAGTGCTGACATGTTCCTGTCGAATTCTGGGTGCCCCTTGCTTACCCATTGATGAGATTCCAGGAATCTTCTGTGCTGTGAGGAAGAGATCGTCAGTGGAGTTGACCAAGTGTTTGATGTTCGCTTTCCTCACATTGTAGTAATTGCCATCGGCAGCCCTTCCTGCGCGCTCTATGGCCACCAGATGGTCGAATCTACCAGGAAGCAGGAGCACAGGGTCCTTATTGGAGAGTGTGGCTGCCTTGTTGAAGGGTCACGCCTGCCATGTATGTATGAAGGACATTTCATTCTCTCTTTGGTTCCTTCATTCCTACAGAACTTGGCTGAACATCTACTCTGCACCAGGAACCGTGCCAGGGGCTGGTCTGTTGGAGCATTTTAAGAAACAATATCAGGATCTTTAGCAATTTGTTAGAGTCAGAGTCTGTGGGAGGAAGGCTGACGGTGAAGGTCTCCGTGGTGGACACTGCTGGTGCCCCACCCAGGTGGCCGGTGACCAGCGGGGGAGCCAGCACCCAGTGGTTTGAGTGTAGGCTGCCACTGGCCCACTGCCGCCCTCTTCCGGGATCCTGTTTGGTTTACCGACACAAATAGACTAAAAAGGAATTGAAATAGGAAACAAACGAATTGACCACAAGATAAACTTCTTCAGACAGAGAGAGAGAGAGAGAGTGAGAAAGAGAGAGAGAGAGAGAGAGAGAGAAGGGGCACAGAGAGCGTGGCGTTGAGAATGCAGGCTGTGGAATCAGACCTCATGCCCCCGGCCTTGGGCAAGTCACTTAACTTCTTAAGCTTGAGAAAACGCATTAGAGGTGCCTCAAGTAGAGCCCCACACCCACTCAGTGCTCAGGAAACATTAGTAGTTGTGGTGGCCATTATTATTATATGACACTTTTTATTATTATTAGGAGGTATTGTTTTGATGATCTAATTTAAGAACACAAAAATTGTATTTTTATCTCTCTCCAAACCCCGCCCCCATGATGGAGTTCTTTGATATCTTAACTCTACTGTGCAAAATTATGTGCTAGTTACTGAAAAAAAAAATTAAAATAGAATTACCATATGATCCAGCAATTCCACTTCTGAGTATATGTCCCCAAGAATTGAATGCTGAGTGTCGAAGAGATATTTATACACCCACAGTCATAGCAACATTATTCACAATCGGCAAAAGGTGGAAGCAACCCAAGCATCCACCAACGGACGAACAGATAAGCAAAATGTATACATGGACGTACTTGCGATGGAGCATTATTCAGCCTTAAAAGGGAGGGACATTCTGACACATGGTACAGCATGGATGAATCTCAAGGACATTATGCTAAGTGACATAAGCCAGTCACAAAAGGACAAATACTGTATGACTCCAATTATATGAGAGACCTAGAATAGTGAAATTTATAGAGACCACAAGTAGAATGGTAGTTGACAGGGGCTGAGGGCTGGGGGGATGGGGGGATTCGTGTTTAATGGGCATAGAGTTTCAGTTTGGGAAGATGAAAAAGTTTTGGAGTTGGACGGTGGTGCTGAACAGCAGTGTGTGTGTACCTAATGACACAGAACCGTACCCTTAAAAATGGCTAAAACGGTCATTTTTATGTTATGTATACTTTACGACAACAACAAAAAATCTTAAGAATGCTTTCTCTGCACGCTTTTAAAAACAGAACCTTCATGCCTGTCCACGTCCTTTGGTTGTGCTAGAATGCGGTGGCATCATGAAGACTTGGACAAGAAGGCCACCGAGCAGGTGTTGGAACACAACCCTGAGGCGACAAGCCCAGGGCAGGAAAGGCGGTCACGGAGAAGCAGAATCAGCAGGAGGAAGAAGCTTTGACCCTGAGTTTCCTCTACATCTACATCGATGGTGATGAAAATCAGTTTAGCACAAGAGTTGCAACACACCCTCTGTCCTGGAAGAACGCTAACCCCCCACTCCCCTGCTCCAGTCCTCATCAACTGTCATTCTACTTTCTGTTTCTGGACCTTCCCCCCAAGAGAACTCAGTGGCATACCTTGTGAACGTATATTGATTTTTTTTTTTTTTTTAGGCCAGAAGGGTCCATTCTGCTAATGTGGGAAGCAATTCATTTCTGGGAAGCTACTCCCCGGGCAAAGTTAATGCATCTTCTCCAAAGAGAGAGGAACCCTGTCTCCCCACGGCCAGGTCTGGCTCACCTCCCTCCACTAAGCAAACAGAGCAATACCTGTATTATCTGGCACCAGGGTCCCACCCAAGGGAATTTTCTAGCTGCTCCCCGAGGAGCCAGAGCATTGTCGGTACACCAACCATTCAGGAAATATAAATGTTTCTAATATGTGCCACATGCGTTCTTGCAGCTTTAAATGGTATATCAGATCCACGCTCAAACTCCTCCTTGGTGACTCGGGGTCCTCATTATAAACGCCTGATTCTGCTGTGAGCTGCAATATAGCTCTGGCTTCCAGGCCTAGCAAAGCAGTGTTTTAAATTCTAAGTGGACACGCGTTAGTGGGTTGTAAAATAGATTTATTTCACAGGCCAGCATTTGCTGAGAAGTAGGTGAGAGCAGACTAGAATAGAGCAGACTAGAATAGACTGGAATAGAAAATATGAGTACATTGCACATGGCAAGAGTAAATATTGTTTTTTGAAACTTCTGTTTCACTTACGTGTGTGTGTGTGGCTTGTGATGAAAAATGTATCACTCTGGAATGTTGTCAAAAAACTTTGGCAAACACGGTATTAAAAGTTGTAAGATCCGAAATACATCCTACATAAAATAAAGAAGTGTTTTTCAAAATGTTTGACCATGATAGTAAAAAATTCACACATGTACACACACACACACACACACACGCGCGCGCGCACACACAAGCAAGCACTTGCCATTACTATATAAGATATATAGTATTTCATTTTCCAGAGGTGCTGGTTACCCTCACCCAAAATGATTTCATTACTTTCTCATGGGTCATGATCCAGTTTGAGAAACTGCTAGTTTTCGTGTTTTATAATTTTCCTATCTCCTCCCTCTACTAAGAAAGACATGTCATCTCCCAGGGACCTGCCACTTGCAGAGACCCTCTGTGAAGCCCCCAGTACACACCTCGACATGCCTGTCTCGTTGGTCAGTCCAGCCCATCAGAACCCCTGGGCTCATGGCTTTGTTCCTCCTGGAGAGCCCAGGTGTGTGGGAGCCTTGCTGTCAGGTAATGGCAGGTGGGCTTTTCCACCAGCACCCACTTTAAACTGGGAGGGGACACACATACCTAGGAGACTTGGGGTCCCTCTCTTTGCAGAGAAACGCCTGAGCAGCTCTCGCTGATGCACCTTGGTAAGTCAAAACTGGGATCCGTGTCTTCAGAACACCTTGAAACGAAAGGCAAAGGGTAGACATATCAGCCCTGGCACTGCGTCTTGGGAATTCATGTTGGTTTTTCCAAAGCTTCTTTGGAAATGATCATTTCTATTATTGAATGGCATTTACCCGTAGAATACGCTGTTAGGTGAGCCAAGACTTCGACCCAGAGGATACTTAAGTTTGCTCTTAGTCCTGAGTGAACCCCAGGTTGGTGGAGAGTGGGGGTGGAATCAGGCTGGTGTCACCAACATCGTGGGCCAGCAAATATGCTCCATGTAGATGCCACAGCGCCACGTGAACAGAAGCCTATTCTGGGCCACTGTCATTATGATTGCTGGGGACACATGTAGGTGCACACGGTGACAGTCAGCCAGCCCTCTGCTGAGCACGTGACATGTACGCTCTCATTCGATTTTCACGATTCTGTGTGATAAGAACCACAGTGATCCCCGTTTTACACAGGAGGAAAACTGAGGCTCAGAGATGCTAAATCACTCGGGCAAAGCCAAGTACGTAGGTCAGCGTCGCGATACCGGTTCCCACCCCAAACAGGGACCTAACAGGGCAGGGAACATAACTTATCCCCAAGGGGGCTGCACATGGTGATAAAAGCCTTGGGAAAGGAAAGTCGGGCAAGATGTGATCCCACCCTGAGCTACAAAGAACCAACTGTCAATGTGGTCAATTTATACTCGACAGGGAAGAAACGACTGAGATTTTTCTTCTTTAAACATTTCCTAAATTTCAGTTATAAAAAGAACTGAAATCATTTTCATTAAAAGGTCAAATCGCTTTTCCTTTCTTCGTCCACCCATAGTCAGAGTTCTGTAAAATCCAACACAGCAAATGACACCTACTGAGCCACCGCGCGGGTGAGCCCCAGGCCTGAGCTCAAGTCCAGCGGATTCCCCTGAGCGGGGCGACCGAGTGAGCAGGACGTCAGGGCGACTTCTGGGAACACGGGTGGCTGAAAACATCCACCAAACCAGTGGTTACGCGGAGATGATCGCCGGCCAGCTGGTGGCATCTGGCACAGCTGGCCGTCCCCTCTCCTCGATGACGCACAGTCCCTTGGTTTTCCTCCGTCCTTGGTGCTGCTCCTGCCTCCCTGCAGACACCCCCTCTCATCCTCGACCTCTCTATGTAGAGCAACCCAGGGCCTTTTGTCCGTTCCTACTCATTCCCTCGCGAGCTCATCCAGTGTCCTGACTTTTATTAAAAGCCGTCAAGGTGCCAACCGCTCTCCGATTTATCTCCGCAGCCCAGACTGCCCTCCTGAACTTGACTCGTCAATCTCACTGCCTCTTTGACTTCTCTACTCGTGTGTCTAGAAGGTATTTCACACTTTCAGTCACCCAGGCTCAAACCCACACTCTTTAAAATTGTAATTGGGGTAAAATACACGTATCGTAAAATTGACCATCTTCTCCGTTTTAAGTGTACAGTTCTCTGGCATTAAGCACATTCACATTGTTTGACTATCAGCATCATCCATCTCCAGAACTTTTACATCTTCCCTAACAGAAACTCTGTACCCATGATACGCTGACCCTCCATCTTCTCTATAACCAATCCACCCGGAAATCGTGACTCTACCTTCAAAACAGAGGCTGTTCAAGCTGCTCCTTACAACCTCCACCTGTACCATTCACCTGTCTGGGTTCCCAAGTCTGAGACCGAGCCATGGCTGCAGCTGGTTCATCTGCGAGATGATTTCAAGAGGCGTTGGGAGGGAACAGGGAAAGTGGGGACGGGAGGAGGAAAAGCCAATAGGGGGTATGTGCATTTTCGAGGTCACTATCTAGGCAATGGGGTCTCCGTTCCATCAGGACTTGAGTGTCTCCAAAAGACGGGCAGCAGGGGACTAGACCCTGTCCCCCGCTGGCTGAGGGGGCCCTGGAGGCAGTAGCCCGCAAACTTCTGGCTGAGTACTTTTTCAAGCTTTGGAGAAACTCTGCAAAACACTGGCCATGGTGGGGACAGTCAGGTCAGTGTGATTCAGAACTTTCAGCCCAGCTGTGGCTGAAATCACGGTGGGAGATGAACACTGGCCATGGTGGGGACAGTCAGGTCAGTGTGACTCGGAACTTACCCCAGCTGCGGCTGAAATCACAGTAGGGGACGGGGAGGGCGGGCAAAGGGACGTGCCACAGGGCACCACGCACGCTAAACCACCCTCATCTCCTGCTGCAATAACCCGGCCGGTCTCCTGTTTCTGCCCTCGTCCCTACAGCTACCCAGGTGATCCCTTAAAACCTAAGCCAGAACATGGCCCTGCTCCACGCAGTGGCCACAAGCCTTCCCGTCTCACCCAGAAGAAAAGTCCAGGTCCTCACATTTCCCTCAAGGCCCTTCTCGATCTGGCTTCTGTGACCTCTCTGTCCTCCTGTCCAGCTGCTCTGCTTTTCATCCACTCTAGGCAAGTCAGCTGGCCATTTCCCTCTCTTAAACCTGCCAGGCCCCTACTCTACCTAATGGCCTCTGCCCTGGCCATTGTCACAGCCTGGGACACGCTTCCTCTAACCAGGTCTGGCCTCACTCCTTCACTAACTGGAACTCTTGGCTCCAATGGCACCTTCTCCATGAGGCCTTCTCTGACCAGCTTGTTTCAAACAGCAGCCCACCACCTGGGCTCTGTACTTACCTTTTGTCCTGTGTTGCTTATTGTCTGTCACACTCCCTTAGAATACGCACTCGACGAGGGCAGGGTTGTAGTCAGTTTTGTTCACCAGTGGATCTCAAGAGCCAAAAATAGTGCCTGGCACATAGTAGGTGCTCAACACATATTTGTCGCGTGATATGGATTCCGTATGTTCAGACAAAACTTTTTGAAACTTTCATCATTGCTGATGCTTTAGGGTAGGCTTTCTGGGGGTTGAAGCCTGTTTTAGAGGCTAAAAAAAAAAAAAATACTTCCCGAAGAATGCATTTTGAGGGACCCAGAGAGACAGGCGCTGGGAAGCAGGTGAGATTCACCAGGCTCCCAGCTTACGCCGGAACAGCACCTGCAGGAAGGAGGTGCGGTGAGGGCCTGAGACGACCTCCGTATCCTAGCCTCACGTGGGCATCGCTCGCGGCTCCAAGGCCCACCTGGATGCTCCAGGGACCCGGGTAGCATGGCACACGCCTGCCCGTCAGGGCCGGACGGGACACTGCTGTCTGAGCGTCTCACCCACTCTGTTCCCAACCACCCCCACTCCAACTCTGGGCGATCGGGGATGTCCGGGGTTGCTAAGAGTCCTCTGTAGGTCACCCCGCATCTCACAGGGAGAGCCGCAGGTACATGGACTGCGAAGCCTGGTGGACCTGGGTTCAAACTCCAGCTCACCATTCCCACCTGGGTAGATCCCCTGGACCTCCCAGAGCCTCGGTCTCTTCATCTATAAATGGGGACAATGTTGTTGATACCAAAGACCTGTTCTGAGCCTCAGAGAAAACGCCCCGGGACAGGCGCATGGCAGCTCCTCAAACGCTGACTTCCTCCTACCCCCCCATCCCACTGCTCACCTTGCTCAACGGCTTCTTTGAGAAGCTTCTCGAACAAACTCAAGGCTCTCTGGTCGACCATCATGGAGACGCCCTTCTCCAAGGCCTGCAGGAAGGCGGCCAGGGCCACGGCTCCCGGAGGCTCGTGTCTGAAATGTGTGGGAAACCCGGTGGTGACGAGGACCAAGCGGTCATGGGACAGCGACAGAGCGGCCCCTCAGCAGCTCGTCTTCACGGAGCAGGTGCCCGATCCCCCTGTTGCCTAGAATTACGAAAAAATAAAATCAAATCACAAAATAACATAATTGTGTTTCACGTGGAAACTTACAGACATTGGG